GGAGGCACCCGCGTTGAGGCTGCAGTGGCGAAGCACTCGCTGGAAGGCACAGACGATGGGCGGCACGGCCGATGATGATCTCTTTTCCCCGCGGGGGTTTGATCTGAGTTTTCAATTCACTCCTCCTCCAAAGGGTGGCCGTCCGGAGTCCACCCAGGAGCCAATTTGCCCAACTCCACCCCACGGAGAGTCCAACCCAAAACCCCGCGGACCAAAAACCAGTTTGAATGCAAAGCCTTTTTTATTCCAGCCGGAATAGGAGTTGTTCAATATTGCAAAGTCAAGGAAGGGGGTGTAAAGACCGTGAAGGCCCTCGAAAAAAAATAAAAGATGCTCAACGGTCAAATCGTAAAGGGAAGGTCCGGGGAGGGGAAGAGAGTGCATAAGTTATAATATGGGCATAAACAGAAAAGAGTCCAAACTAAACAGAAAAAAAACAAAAGGAAATTAAATATACAGGTGGTCATGCGAGGGGATTTGAGGAGGAACAATGAATACGACGGGGGGGAGTGAGGGGTGCACAGAGGCCAATCACCCTTCGGGAACCAAGTGCTGGTCTGAACGTCAACGGGTCAAATCGCGAGTCCAAAAGAAGGAGAGTAAAAACTATACAAAGGGAACCGGGGAAATCATACAGCAACTTCCCATCCCCTAACAACGCCCCTCATGGCGGCGCCGCCACGCCTCCTCACCTCCCTCCTTACAACCGCCACCAACCTCCTCGACAGCTCCTTGCCGCACACGCCACCAGCAGCCTCGGCCGTCGACGCCGCCACCGCAAACGCCTCGCCCTCGTCCTCGGCCATCCTGGCCCTCTTGGCAGCCGGTGACGCAGCACCGTGACGCGGCGGCGAGTTGGGAGGGGTGGCGGGGCACGAGATGGGGTGGAGAGCGGCGTGGGAGACGGGGGTGGCCGCGCCGGCGAAGCAGAGGTCGTCATCAAGGTCGAGCTCGTCGTGGCGGCGCTTGCGGGGTTGGTAGTCGATGGAGACCGGGGACGACGAGATCCAGTCGTCTTCGGTGGCCGTGGTGGAGGGCTGTGTGTCGTCAGCCTCGTCGGCGTCGTCGTCGCTAGCGTCACCGTCGAGGATGAGGTTGCCGGCGGGGAGATCAGCGAGGTGGGGAACCATGGCGTCCACGTCGTCGACTACCACCTGGCCGGCGTACGAGAGCAGCGCGGCCGGGGACACCATGCCGTCCCATGAGGGGGAGGCATCGGAGGCCGGCGGGGGGACCCACGCGTACGAAGACGTGGCGTCGTCCACATCGTCGGACGCGTCAGACTCGTCCTCAGTGTCCGAGACAATGTTGTTGGCCGAGGGTACGCGGTGGCGGTTCTTTGCGGCAAGGTCGAGCTCCTCGTCGGCGGCGAGCTTCTTGGCGAGGGCGGCGGCCAGCAGCTGGCTGGGCTTGGGGGCGACGGTGGTGTTGTGGGAGAGGGAGGGGGGGAGCGAGGAGGAGCGATGGCCGGGGAGGAAGTGTTCGACCGATTTAGAAGGCATGACCCGAGGGACCGAGTCCGGTGTGAGGGGAACGTGACGGAAGGTAAGGGTTTCGGTAACGGGGCTGAGGTTGGAGGTGTCGGTGTTGCGGCGGTCCACGAGGAGCGGATCCACGGTGGGGGCGGGGAGGGGGGAGCGCCTGCGTTGGACAAGGTGGGTGGTGGGTTCGGCGGCGGGGGCGATGGGGTCGAAGCGGGTCACGGAGGAAGCGTCCATTTCTTCTGATGCGAAAGGAGGGAGGTCGTAGTCGTGGAGGGTTGATGCAGAGTCTCTGATGAGTTGGTAGCTCAACGTCTCGGCGGCGGTGCACAGATCAAAGAGGGTGAGCCGCTGTGGGTGGCTGTTGGGTGGCGTGTCGTTCTTGAACGGCAGCGTATCGCGATCGGAAGTGTCGAAGGGTGGAAGGCAACTGTTTGGGTTGGGCATTTCTCTGGGTTAGAACTTGTGGTTTGCGGGGCTTTCTAAAAGGTCTAAGGGGCTGGTGGTGTGAAACAAGTGATGCTTTGAAGGCTCAGCAGGAGGCCCCCTCTTTATAGCCCTCCCCCCTTTAGCCACCTCCGCCACCCTTCCACGTCCAGTCCCCCCATTACGTGATGCACTCCACCTCGAACCCTCTTTCGCGCCCATTGCAAAGCTCCGCAGTCCGAAGGCGCAGTTTGCGGGCCAAGCAAAGGCTGTGCACTCGAGATGATTCGAAATTGGCCCGAACCGCCCAATGAACAGGCACATCGTCCGTTTGCTGACGCACCGAACCCCCGCCATCGTCCTCCACAACGTCGATCCTCCGTCTTTTCCTTTCGACTCATCGCTATTGGGGCGGAAGCGTCGAGATTTACGTCACCCACGAATCAGAAAAATTGAGCGACCTGTCCCTTCCACGCCGTTCCCCCCCGGGCCTCCCCCCACAAACGCAAACGCATTCACCAAAGTGATTCGCGCCCCTCGAGCCACCTGGTTCGAGGAAACGTGGAGAAACTGCAACAGAAGGTTCTCGTGCCTTCTGGCGAGGTTTGGAATCCCAAGGAGGTGTGGAGGAAGAATGGGTGACTGCGGGTGACTCGGGTGGCGAGAAGAGAAAGAAAAAGGGGGAGGAGGGTATCCGGGTAGTCCGCCCCCACGGGATGAGCAACATGTCCGCCACAGCCGGGATCCTTCGCCTTAAAGAAATAGGAGAGTGTGGCCATGAAAGCAATGACGTGGCCCTTGATCTGAAGTGGAGTTTGGGGCCAACGACTCATAAAGCAACGGGGGGGAAGGCCACCATCCGGGGTCCACCCCCATCAACAGAGAGGGAGAGAGTGACGACTTTCCAAAAAGCAACGATGGCTGACCTGGTGGTGTAGGAAGATGGTGATGGCCACCGATGGGAGGCGGCGGTGACGGAGGTAGGTTACCTGGGGGGGATGACGGGGGGGGTGATGACGTGGAGTGTGGGATGAGCTGACGGTGACGGGGGGTAGAGTAGTAGTGTGAGCGAAGGAGGTGATGGGTAGGGA